CTACTGGATTAAGTATGCTGAGAGAGGGGGAGGGGGAGGGAAAGGGGTCTGTGGGACCCCTCTGACCAGCCCCATGCCAGTCATTTAGCCTGCAGGCTAACCTTTGCTCTAACCCAAGAATTCACTAACTTTGACTGTCCAGACTTCAAGTTGAGGGGAAATTAATACAGCCAAGAGGGGGAGGAAGCCACCATGGCCTTTGTGCTCATATGAGCAGACAGCTGATTATTCCAGGAACAGACATCTACATATCAGAGCACATTTTGTTCCCATGACATCAAGGTAGTCAGGGGCCCTCCTCCAAGCCTGATTCCTACACACTCAGACTGGACAGGAAGGGGCCGTGGCTAAGCTGTCCTCAGCTTCCACCATCAGCTATATAGGAATACTCCAGTATGTCTCACTACCCTCCCTTTAAGTTGTCCCCAGCCACACAACACAAGGGCCCTCCTCTCATACTGCCCATGTCCTGACAGTCACCTGCCCCAGGGACTTGCCCAACCATAACCTATCTTCTCACTCATCTCCATGGTCTCACCCACCCTCATCAGTTTCCCTGCTGTCTCAAGGCTTGCCTGGCTCAGGATGGGGATGGGGACCCAGGTCCATCACTCAGGTTGACTATTGCAGACAGGTACCGCTGCACTCTTATGCAGTATCAACTAACTCAAGAGTGACCAACCCACTGTATGAACACCACAGGTCACACAGGCAGCCTCTGTGTGTGGCATGAGGCTAACTGGGGAGGGGGCAGTGACAAATAGACCAGGGAGCAGAAAGCAGAGCAAGAGATCAGGCAGGGAGCATGGGGCAGGGAGCAGAGCATAAGATCAGATAGGGAAAAGAGGGTCAGAGTGGCATTTGGGAAGGGTGTACGGCTTACTTTGTGGCACACCTGCCAAAAAGGTTGGCTCCCACTGTCCTAATTCAAAACCCAGCAGTGGCACCAAGAGGGAGAGAACTTCTCCAGGAGCTGGCATTGGAGTGGCTGCTGGGGCTCTCCTATCCTGCCAAACCAACAGTGGGGGTAGGGGGGCAGAATGTGACTAGCATGACCAGTTGAAGGTAGGGGGAAGGAAGCCAACACTGGGTGGAGAGGAAAGAGGAAGATGGGTCTGCTCAGAGGAGACAGGCTTGGAAGCAGAGTGCTGAACAATCAAAGGGAAGGGGTGGCACCAGTCAGTAGCATAACCATTGCTGGGTTACTGGGACAGCAGCTGTGGGCATCCACTTAGAGGCAATATAAGAATAGCAGCTGCTGCTACTGCTGGACTAATTGCCTCAGCTGCTACCACCTCTGCTGCCCTGCCACCCAGGACACACACTCTGCCACCAATAGTCCAAACAGGCGGTAGTAAGAGCACAAGTTATTGTTCAAGAGCAGAGGAGGGGATGCTCTGAGAGACAGGGCCAAGAAAGGAACAGCAAGCCCTAGGAGTAAAAACTCCCAACAGCTTTCTTTTTTCCTTTATAACTGCTGGCTAACAGAACAAATACTTCCCCTCAGCCCTTGGCATACTCCCAGAAACCCATAGAATTGTCCAAACGTCATTGCTCTGGCTGCCACTACTGTCCAGCCTCTCAGGCTACAAAAGTCTGGGAACCCTCTTCACAGTAAGGATTTGTTTCTGGGCAGGACTGGGCCTCTGGCTTTGCTACTCACTGACCCCATGGCACTTGTTACATCACTTTGCCTCTCTGCATCTCAGCCTCCTCCATCAAAAGTACCTTTTCAGGGTTATTGGGTAGTTGTAGAAACACTCCAAATACATAAAATGCTGCTGGACTGCTGGACAGAAAGAAAGTACACGGTGAGGGGAGAATGGAGCGTGGTGGGATGCCAGACTACTAGCAACCCCCTATTGTGCCACATGGCTGGAGAATGCCAGCAGAACTCACTTAAATCTCCCTTTGAGCACGGGCGACTGGTGCCTGTAGAGTCGGGGGGACATGTGCCCTCCCTGACACCAGTCAGCAACTGGGCGGGGGCTGATCAAGATTTTACTCACCAAAAAGAGGCATGGCCGCTTTTGCTGGTGGCCCCACTCCCCGGCCAGCACTTGCAGGTGGGCACCAGCGCTCCTACCTGCCCCCACTGCCTGTTGCCTAAACAGAGAGTGCACCAGCGCTCTCAGGAGGTACATGTGCACCCCCTACACATCGCCACTACCTTTGAGGGAACTTCTTACCTCAAGATTAGGCATTGATCCCTGTCCTTTTCAGTTTGGCCAGTAATTTTAGGGGGATCTTACTGAAGTTTGCAGGGAGCTCCTCTCATACATATTTTTTTATTTATTAAATTTATATGCCATCCTTCCCCCTTCCCACTTCCCCTTGAGATCCTCCTGAGCCCAAGCCTGAACATTTTCTGAACCAACCTGGGCAGGTGCTTAGCACGCAAAGCTAAACTAGGATATTGTTTATGGCAGGAGTGGGTGGCCTGCAGGCTGGATTTGTCTGTCAAGTTGAGGGGCTTCAATGGCATCTGGCAGCGAGGGACTTCAGCTGTGCTGCACTGTGCCATGCCAAGTCGTGCTGTGCCATGCTCAGGAAAGAGGGAGAAGCAGTGGCGTTGGTGACATTAGTCGAGTCCTAGCACCAGCCAGATCCTAGCACTGGCCTGCCTTGGACCTAAATTTCCAGAACAGTGTTGCTGGTTTAAGGTTTTTGTTTGTAGCCGTGTTGGTCTAAGGACATAGGTGGGCAAGGTTCTTTGGGTAGATGCATTGGTGATGCGTACGGGGTGTATGCAGGCACAAGTTCACCCCCTGAGCTTGGCGGTGCATCCCCTGCAAAAAGGTGCTGCTGGTGGTCGCCACTCGCCACCCCCCCACCCCTTCCCCCCACACTGCTGGTGGTGTCTGTGGGTGGTCGCCAGCGCTCTCCACTTCTCCCCACAGCTACTGACAGCGCCGCGGCTGCCTGCCAGCCTCCGGGGGCACACAGTGTTCATGGGTAGATGCATTGGCGATGTGTAGGGGGTGTATGAGGGTGCATGTGCACCCCCCAAGTGTGGCGGTACACCCTCTGCGAAAAGGCGCCACCGACACTACCAGCGGTGCCTGTGGGCGGTTGCCGCTTGCCTCACCCCCACTTGCCACCAACACTGCTGGTGGCGCCTGTGGGCGGTCTACAATCAGTGCTGGCTGGCATCTGTGGGTGGTCTCTGACTGCCGGTCAGTGCTTGCCACCTACCCCGCCACCATCTCTGTGGCCACCTGCGGGAGCTCCCTGCTTGCTGCCACCATGCTCCTGCTACCAAAGGAGCCGCTGCCACCTGTGGTACCTCTCTGTGCCTCCCCAGCCTTCAGAGGCACACGGTGTTCATGGGTAGATGTGATATATTTTATTATTACTCAGTTGGTCTAATAAAATATATCACATCTACTCAAAGAACCTTGCCTTGCTGGTTCAGGGACGTTGTGTTTTGTACTTTTCTTACTATTCTAACAGCTGTTAAGGTATTTGTCTCTTCCTGTCAGCTGCCCCAAGCCTTCGTTGTGACTGTGGCCATGGGAAAGAGCGCAATGATGCTTGTGGAAAAACTAGACCAGACGAAAGGTGCTGCGGTCAGGGGGATGAGGGATGCTGGAGGCAGTGGGGCGGCCCCAGAGAGGGTTTAATGTGCCAACAAAGGGAGCCGGAGGGGCTGGCTCAGTAGCGGGCGCCCAGGACGGGGGCCTGGCTCCGGCATCCTGCGGGCAGAGCCCTTCGCTTCTGCCGTCCCCTGAGGACCGGGCTCCTGCCACATCTCTGGCGCCTCCCCGGCCGCCCGCCCCTGCACTGCCTTGGCGCGGCGGCCGCGCCCGGCCTACAACTCCCGGCATGCAGCCGCCGGCGAGGGGCGAGCAAGGGGCGGGACACATGAATTGAAATGACCCAATGGTACAAGAAAGGAAACCCAGAGCCCTTCGCTTCTGCCGTCCCCTGAGGACCGGGCTCCTGCCACATCTCTGGCGCCTCCCCGGCCGCCCGCCCCTGCACTGCCTTGGCGCGGCGGCCGCGCCCGGCCTACAACTCCCGGCATGCAGCCGCCGGCGAGGGGCGAGCAAGGGGCGGGACACATGAATTGAAATGACCCAATGGTACAAGAAAGGAAACCCAAGCGGGCGGGTCGGCCGGTGGCTGCGGCGGCGGATTGGCTGTCGGGAGATCGCGGGCGGCGCGGAGCACTG